ATCTCACAATGGGAAGTCCTCACATACAATACGACGTGGATGGCCCTGCAGGACAGGTAGCCATTTATTCACTATACATATTTGAATAATATAATTCGATATCTCTCTCTCATTCTCACTCCCTCTCTCTGCCTCGATCTATTACCTCTCTTAAGCACGCGCGTTAGATTATATGCATATGTTTACTAGTGTATAGACAACCCGGAACACAGATTAACTCGTCACTCATCACAAACCTAACCAAAAATATTATTGTATTATATATATACTCAAATTTATTCCCATACATTTCACATATTACAGTATTCATACATAAATAGGTACTTTCATATTATATACACCATCACACATATCTAATATTGTTATACAACTTATATACATATCAATATAAGACACTTCGTTAAAGAATATACATTACATATTATAGACACTCATACATGGAATACATACTTAAAAATACTTAGTCACCTAGTGGAGGGGTAGAGGGGGAAATATAATCATCACGTATACGAGTGGTTTTGGAGATGGCGGAGGGGTGAGCGGGTTAAATATAGTTGTGTTCGTATGCTAGTGGTTGTGATTTCTGAGTTCGAACCGTTATAAATGATAAAAATGTATTGTGTGATTTTTAATGTATCTTGAGTTGAACAAAATATAACGTATGAATTCATCATACATGATAATATTGAATATAGCTAGTCCATCGATGAATCTGAATGACAAAATAAATGAACCTGTATGCATTAGGCTGATTTTGTTGGTGAATTTTTCCTTTTTGTTAATGCCTCGAATTTTGCTAGCTATGTACAACAATTTAACATAGAAAACTGTAAATAGCGAAAATATTATGTATAACGTTTAAAATGATAAAAAAATTACTAATTTTCAAGCCCCCCCCCCCCCCCCATTGAAAAATCCTGCGTACGAAACTGGGTTACTGTATTCGTTGAAACAGATTTAGTTAGCTTAGCTGTATTACTAATGTGACAAAATATAATCTACTCTTTAATGTATTAACATTCACAGTGACAACACACTATTGCATTTTTACGTAATATTTTTTACGATCAATTCATGTTTAATTTTCAACCCCGTTTTCGTATGATACAATTCATTACATAATTTCACATGTGAACATAATGTAAATAAAAATAAATAGTATTTGATTAAGTTTTCTTAAATACAATATAGAAATATTGTTATTTTTTATTAGATATAAGTAAATATATTTTATATCACAATAATATAAATGCACCTGGATTTTTTTTTATCTATACTTTGATGGTTTTTGTGTCAAATGAAACTCCTAGGTCTTTAATAATATATTTACGTGTTAGATTTGTATTATGTAAAACATAATTATAAAGTATAGTATTTTTTTTTAAAGAGTACGAAATAACGGAGCATTTATCAATATTTAAGGACATTCCATTATAGATACACCATTTATAAATATTATCTAAGTCGGCTTGAAGTTCCAATGAATCATCATACACTTAATTTTTTTAAATATTTTAGTGTCATCAGCAAATAATAGACATTTTGGGCAATTTAGAACTTTATTAATATATATACGTTTTAATCTAGAAAATAAAGGTGATAACATTAGTCTTTCATAAAATACAAACATAAAATGATATAATTGCATATAGAATATTAATCACTTCACTTTGTTAGTTTTACCTATAGTAATCGGATTTTGTTATTTTGTTGTGTGCACTCTATAAAGTAGTATAATAAGTACATTTATAATGTCGGACATCCGTGAACTCAGTGGCACACATGGGTAACAAAATTTATTTATAACTAGGTATACAAAACTTTGTTGAAAATGCTGAAATGCTTTAACAAATTGATGTACGATCGTTAAAAATTATAAGTTCACTCACCGATAAGGTATAATACTTCAAAATTGTTTTGGATATTGTCAGATATGTCCTATAATTTATTGAAGCTTGGTTCATTTTATTTCCAATTTTTAAAAATCACCTCTAATTTGTGCTTCTACAATTCTACCTGTAGTTGGTCGATGACCTGTCGTGCATTTGGCGACGAATCATTATGAACGCAAATCGAACACATAATAATATAATATATTATAAATATCGGTTTAAGTAATATTGTATTATTTAAGTGTACATAAAATCATTTATTATGCGTTCACAATGTTTACTGACCATATTCGACTAGTAATAGGTATGATAGACATCATCATCATAATATAAACGTTTCACAATAACATGAATTTATTTGGTCACTGTCGTATTCTAATTATTCAAACACTATAATATGATATGCTTATCCCGCAAACTATATCAAACCGTATAAGCCTTCTCGAAATATACGCCTACCAAATAATAATATATTATTGTTGTAGTCGTCGGTGAATCAGATTTTATATGATCAGACTTTGTGATTGCGCAATAATTTAACATGGTAATAATTATTAAACCGTACTAGTGGTTATACATAATATAGTGTGAGTCTAAAAGTTTCGATACGGTTTCGACAACGAATATATGGCTATATACTGATATTTTCGATACACTTTGTGGTGAAAACATAATATAAATAATATACCTGCGGAAGAGTCGCGCAGTGTACAGATTATAATATAGAGTATTAGGTACCTATACTACCAACGGCGATATTTTGTGGACGACCCTTTCAAAAGTCAAAATTTGTCCTCGTCGTCCCTTTGCGTATACCATCATCAGTACGTTTATATTTTTATAAACTGTCGTATCACCCGTATTGGATAATACGTGGTAAACCTACTATACGCCTCACCCTCGTATTCTCTAGCTAATGACACTCTCTAAAATTAATTAGAATGTCACTGTTAACTTGGAGGTACGATGGTGTGCGTTTGTCAATCCAAAGTTCTTTCAAATCTAGTAAAATGACTCAAAGATTACATATACCTTGGCACTATTCAGTTTAATAAAACCTCATTGACACATAGTAAGTATATCCCGGCGCTGCTCCTATTAAAGGTAAGAACTTAAGAATGACTTAAATAATTGTAACTCGGGTTTTCAGGTCGGAAACACTTTTATTATATTTAAAAAACAAACACAAATAAAATACACTTGGCGAATTCAGATCGCCTAGCCCGTACTACGATCGACGTTTCACACGTATGACCACAGTACCTACGTCCTCGCCGATTCACTCAGCGACAACAGGACAGCTGTGCCTGCGCGTGCGGCGGTGTTATATAGTAATCTTATCGCTGTCTCAGCACATATGCTTCACTGACCTATGTCAATAGTTTACAATTTAAAATGTTCCCACCCCTATTAAATATATGAAATAATATTTTGACGACTGTCTACAATATACGACAGTCCCCATTGTTTTTTGAAAAAAATGCCCTCATTTTTAATGATGTTTCTACATACAAATGTCTTATTACTACATTAAATACTAATCTACTTTTACACTATATTACTGTCTCGGCTTATTCGCGTCGTTGACTATAAAATTATGATTAAATGTTAATTTTAATCCTATTATTTTAATAATTTATTTTTTAACGCGTTGTTAGGGGAGAGAGAAGAAGAAAAAAAAATATATATATTTTACAAACATAATGAAAATAATAATTTAAACATTTATACAACTGAAAGCATCACAAGTGCAACCCGAATACATAAAAATAAAATTAAAATTAAATCTAATGACAATATTACTATTGCACCAAAATCGAAGTCAAAATTAAAAATATATATCACAAGCAATGATATACTAACACAGTATAAAATAAATCCTACAGACCGCTTAGGCAGCGAAAAACATTTAATGCTAGAAACCCAGATAGTAGACTATTCTAACGAAGTAATCTTATACAATTATTCCAACGTATATAGTAATATTCCAAAAAGAATGACAATAGCCACAATTCATGAATTAAACATACAAAATAATTAACACAAATTACAACAAATTAAATTTAAAACAGACAAATCGATATTTCAACCGCCGTAATTATTTTATACTGTATAAAATTAGCTCGGAATATAAATACAAAAAAAAAAAATCTCTACCTGTGGCAATATTATGTGAGGATCTAGAAACAATTAGAAACATATAATTCATAAATACATATTAATGATTAATAATTTTTTTATAATATAAATATAAATTGAGTTATATTTTATACTGTATTATAATGTATGACATTTTTACTTAGAATATAGATACAAAAATTTATGTGAATAGATGTAAGGTTATAATAATTTATTGATTGGCTCTTTGTGGAAAATGTTTTCTTAGAGATTTTTCTCAGTTTGAAGTATAATATTTTCATTTCGACAAATAGCAGTAAATGATTGTTGTTCTTCTACGGGATTTTTGTTTTTTTTTTTTTGATTCTGTGGTAGTTAATTCTTCTTCTCCTTGTATTTGTAAGGTAAGTGTTTATTATCTTGCTTGTTTTAGTTTTTCTTCTTATAGTCTGTATATATATTTTTTTTTATTTATATATATTCTCATATATTATTTTTCCAAACTTCTGTTTTGACTGCAGTCTCTTCCTCGTGTCTTCGTATGAAAAGGTATTTGCTTATTGTTTTTATAATTATTGGTTTAATGCTTATTGTCTACTTTGAAAATATTATATTCGCACTTTGTCTCAGAAGATTGTTGCGGCTTGTTGTCTGTTGACTCGTTAATTTTTGATTATGCTGAAAATACATTCTGTTCTTTTGTTTTTTTATATCTTTTTTTTTTACATGTTTTTAATATTTTATTATTTTCCCTTAAATGTAATTGTAATATTAATTCATATATATATATATATATAGGTAAAGAGTTAATTGAACTTATACATGACATATACTTAATTTATTTACTTTATTTATTACTGTGTTTAATTACATATTAGTTAATTATGTTTATATTTTCCTAAAAGGGGGTTTATTATTATATTGTTTTGATAAATTTTAATTTTTACAATTACATTAATTTTTGTTTAAGGTAACATTTAGAAAAATTATTCAATGGACTTGATAAAATTTATAAGATTCTCGAAGCCCTCCTGGATTTTTATCAATGTTTTCGGTAACTTTCTTATGTCTTCGTTGTTGGTGTTTGTTCTCGGGTTGTTCCCTGTTTTCAATTTCTTTTATGTTTCCTTTCGCCTTTTTTATTGCTTTGTGTAGTTTTTTAATTTTTGTTCTCTGTGCGAATCTTTCGATTAAAATATTTATGTTATGACTTCCGGCGGTTCCGAGTTGCGTGCGAAAATCGTTTTCTGGGTCGAATTGCGTGCGTGGTTTTTTCATAACAGGGTTGAGTTGCGTGCGCGGTTTTTTTGTGACAGAGCAGAGTTGCGTTAGAGATACAGTGTTGATGCCGCACGGTGTGCCAGATTTATTTACACTAAATAATAAAATTAAAGAATACATTTACTCTTCGAATACAAATTATTAAAACAATATTAATTCAAGTGATAATACAATAAAATTATTAGGTATCTCGTAAAAACGATTATATTTAAATATTTTTTATGAGTAGCAAAAAATGTAATTTAAAATTACAGTCAAAATATTATAAAAATAAGAAAAAATAAAAATAAAAAAATCTCTGTATGTTGTTATTTAAAAATTTTTGAAAATGAAATTTATACCCGTTAATTATATATAATTTTTTTTTTTTCGCTTAACATTTGATTCACTTCCATTTTGGTCGCGATTGAGTGTTGACTATCAACTGATATTCAATTCCAATTTCATATAGAATATAGATCGTTTAATATTATTTATCAAATTATCAGCTTATATCTTATTACCGAAAAGTCCCATTCCCTACATAGTACTACTAGTACATACTAGTATTTATAATCAATGATAATACCCATATATAGCTATCATATTAAATACAGATAAATGATTCTCCGGCCGACACATCCAGCTCGGTGAAAACCGGTTGTCTTTAAATAAAATATGCGCACGCAATTCAGCTCTGTCATGAAGAAACCACGCACGCAATTCGGTTGTTGTCAAACATAGTTCTTTTTTTCTGCACGCAATTCGGATGCAGCCGTTGAAACATACAAAGTCTCATGAACAAATTAAATTTCAATGTACTCACTGTAAAAAAGATTTCACTCGTCAAAGTAATCTAGCTGATCATATTCAGAAAAAACATGGTATGTAACAACTTAAATACTAATAACAAATATTAGGAACATGGCAACTTGCATTATTATTGTATAATTAAATATCAATTCAATTTAAGTCGTTAAAATATATAAATGGACCTAAACAAATCCTATTTTATTACAGTAAGTTTCATTAATTCAATGATCATTTCGAGTGAAAATAATAATAATTAATTACTATTCTTAAATTATAGATTGAAGAAGAAGATATTGAAAATAAGGAAAAGAAAAATATTATGTATTCAAAATGTATAATTGTAGTGTTGGTAATAATTGTATTCGGATTATTATCGACGATTATAATGTTGTTACATAATGAAAATAATAGTAAATCGCAAATGATTCTGGTGAGTCACAACTGAAAATGTATTTCGTACGTCTGTAAGACAAACTTCCAGGCCCGTGGTAGCAGTTGCACAAACATTTAAGGGTGTTTTAATTATTGTCATATATGTACTTTTCAGTTTTCAATTCATAACATCTACCTTTGATTAAGTAACAAAAAGACCTTGAACTAACCGGTTATAGTTTTGTTATCAAAGGTAGATAGAATTGCGAAATATAGTACCTTTGTCCTCAACGATCATAAATTAATCGATTTCAGATCCGTCTCAAACGTAGAAGGTGACACCAAATATAAGCAACGACGTAATAACTTAAAACCCTTTTATTTAAACTACTTAAACGTACACACATAGCAAAAACTGTTTTCTTTTCTTCCTCTGTATTTATAGTAAAATAAATTACCTCCCCGGTTTTAAATTAGTAAAATACGAGAAAATCTAATATTCAATGTTTTTTTTTTTTTTATAGGGATGGAAAGACGAAGGCGGCCACAACGAAACAAATGGTACTCATATTGAAGGCGGCGGACTCATGACCAATGTTTGGAAAACTATGAAAACATTTATTTCGCCTAGCACCCCAGAAATGAAAAATAACATAACAAATGCTACGAACTCAATGATTAATGATAGGAATAACAATAACAATAACAATAACAATAGGATTAACATAACAAAAAATAATTATTATAATTATTACAACTGTAATCACACCCTGTAAAGTCTATGCCGTATTCCTATATGAGGTGTATCTCTACGGCCTATCATTTACGGTGTGATTACAGTTGTAATAAATTATAATTATTAATTATTTTTGTTATGTTATTTGTTATGTTGTAATTATGACTATAGATAACCAAAATAACGTTCGCGGTATATTGACTAATTTTGTAAAAATCTGTACTTAAAATGCTTACAAAAAAAAATAATCGTACATAATGTATCTTCATTATTTAAAAATTGCTATTATAACAACTTATGAGGAACCTTGTATTAATAGTTTAAGCTTTTAGACCGGTCTCTAAATAGGTCAAAATAAGTAGAAATATTTTGAACATTTCATCATGTAGGTTAGGTACCTTTAGACAGTTGTAATATTTTATCATAATCATTTGGTGAAAAATTGAAGTATCTATTTATAGTTGATTTTTGAATTACAACAAAATATAAAAAATTCTTTGAGGAGAAATTATTAACTAACTGTTGAGTGTTGAATATCCATCGTAAAAAATTAATATCAAATGTTTAAGCGAAATGATTCCAGTGTTGGGAGTAGCTCACTAAAATAATATCTAGATAAAGATTTTTAAAATAAAATATCTTAAAATGTTATCCAGTAATAAATTAAAATATATTATAACACAAATATTGGTTAGGTTACAAGAACACAAGAGAATTACAAGGACAGTTACTAGTCGCGTTGACTCGTTTGTATTTTGTTTTGATAATCTGATCCTAAAATTTAAACTCTGAAGTATATCAATATTTATATTATAATGGATACTGTCTGTATAATAGTAATAGAATTGGCATCGGGCATCAAGCGGTGGGATGTCAACCAACAACCACCAATAACCCACCACCGATAAATCATCCTACAAATTACAACAAATACATTTTATCACGACTTAAACTAGACGGTTATTTTTTTAATAATTTAAATATGTGTTCATTGCTATTGTTAATTTAGATTTAATTTGAGAAAAAAATATCAATTAATCTCAAATTATTATACTATTATACATTTTACTACATTTATAACGAATACTATTTAAATTTAAAGAAACATATAGTGTTTTATTTTTTTTGACATTGCTGACTAGCAGATAAAAAGATGCAAACACTATTTTCATCACAGCCAATTGAGAAGTCTTTGGGTAAATAACTATAGGAGGTTAAAGTATCATTGTTTTTAAGACTTCAAGCTACATTGTTATTAGCTAGTTTTTACTGTGGACAATATTCCACACCATTATTTTTAACTTGCAATTCACTATATGTCATGCGAGAAGCTCAAAAATAAATCATAAAATGAACTTCGTTTTTTTGACACTCCATTCGGTTTGTGTGGCGGCTACGGTTGGTACGCGTTTTTTATGTGAGGCAGATAGATCGTCGCAAAGAACCCTGGTGGTCACCCATCTGGGAGCCTGCTCGACCTCTGCACACATTATATTAGTGACTGCGTCCAATCACCGCGATTCACCAGGTCACCATTCAATGAACTCTAATACCATCCACGTTTAATTGTATATTATTATTATATGTTTATATTATATTTACCAGTTTAAATTCTTGCAAATGTATTATATTTTATAACATTTGACATGTCAACAAATTGTATACAATATTACACAATCCTTAATATAGCAATAGTACTGAGTAGTAAAATACAGTAGTAGTATATACAGATTAGTGTAGATTTAATAATTTGTTGATCGTTGCCACATCGATAAAATCAAATATTAAAATTACTTGACCGTCATATTTAAAAGGTGATTTTGAAAGGCTTTAATATAGATACTTGTATATTTTAGAAAATTAAGGTTTCGGAAATATAGTTAAAATATATTAGACTAGGTACGTTATGGTTTTTGGTATTAGCAAGACTTAAACAGTTAACCTAACTATTAATTAATCATAGAAATAATAAACTAGGTATAGGATCAATGGATCATAGTCAAATATAATTTTAATGTAAACATTCAAATTAATAATTATGTATATTCGTATAACGTATCTAGTATACAGAGTGTGACAGTATAAATGAAAAAAAAGAAAATTAAATATGTCCATTTATGTTCAGTTATTACCTAATAATGAAATGTGTATCGGTTATTAGGTATTTTTTCAAAAATGATAAATTACAACTATATAAGACCTCATTTTCGATTTTTTTTTTAAAATTGTGGTCGTTAAACAATTTTTTTTGCTGAATCAAAATCTTGAAAATTTACCCATATCAGAAGTTCAAAATGAATGAACATATTATAAAGATTAAAGGCATACATTTTTTCATAAGCATTTTAAATTCAAATTTTGACAAAATCCGTCATAATCGCTCAAACATAATCAAATTATTTTGTATTTAAAAATGTATATAATGTTCAACTTTTATAGATAAGAACTAAAAGTTCAAAACAAGGTTAAAATATTATATTTTATAAATATAAGTTATACCTATCTATTTAACTATTGCAAATAATAGGTAACAACTAGGCAACAAAAAACAGCGGTAAAACAGAAATATTTACACAACACCAGTTTTGAATTAAATTTACCTTCATATTTTTGTTGTAATTAAAATCATAATCAAATACTTAAAGTACCTACATAAATTTTTTATAGACCTGATATTATGTCTAAAATATTTTAAATTTTTTAGAGTCTGCATTTGGTACCTATAAATAATTACCTTATTTTAAACAATTATTTATAAGTAATATTAACGCAGGTAAAACAGAAACTAACTGCAACTATAACTTAGCTTAACTACGACCAGCAGCCACATCTTAATTGGTCGACGAAATCACTTCACATGTGAAACTTAGTGTGCTAAGTACTGTGTTAGACTGTTGACAGCTATTTTAAGTCAAGGAAAAATAATTAAATTAATTGAAAACATTACTTTACTTTAAACACTATATATAAATACCAAAATTCAAAAAAGTTAAAGACTTATTGGATACAATTATTAAAACAATATTCACTGTCGAAATCTATATATATAAAAATGAATGTATGTCTGTGTGTCTGTGTGTCCATGTTACCATGGTTACCAAGGTTGCCATGGTTACTAAGGTTACCAAGATTTCATATCAAAAATGAATGTATGTCAGTGTGTGTGTGTGTGTGTGTGTGTGTGTGTCCATATTACCATGGCAACCATATCTGTATATAA